AAAATGTGTGTCCACATCTCAGATTAAATAATAACGTTAAAGCTGTCCCTGTGCTTAACTAATTAAGCACTATGATATGAAGGCGTATGGAAGAGTGGATGTATAAATCCACATTTTCTTGGTCTCGGCACTAGTTGGAGGTGTGTGGTCAGCTTCACGCACCTGCAGCTTTACCCNGTCCCTGTGCTTAACTAATTAAGCACTATGATATGAAGGCGTATGGAAGAGTGGATGTATAAATCCACATTTTCTTGGCCTCGACACTAGTTGGTGTGTGGTCAGCTTCACGCACCTGCAGCTTTAACATCGGGGAAATAGCCCCCGGTATCCATTTGATAGGAGGCTGGGTGGATCCCAAAGCCAGTCTGAACGACTTGGAGAAGAGAAAATTCTTGCCACCACCGGGAGTTGAACTCCGACCTCTCGGTCGTCCAGCCCGTAGCCAGTCACTATACAGACTGCGCTATCCCGGCTCATAATTGTTAAAGTTTTAAATCATTAAAATTAATCACATATTAATGTTTTCTATGCTTTTGTTTGGATGTAGTAGTTGTGTGTAGATTACATATATCTTCTACTGATGTATTTCTCCGGGGTTCTTCCTGGTCTTGTACTGATGTTCTTTAGTGTGTGTTTTATTGGCTTGCTCGAGTAGGTATGTGATTATGTTTTCTCCTTATTTGTGTTTGTTGTATTTGGGAGGAATGTTGTGTTTTGTATGTGGCGATTGTGAAAGTGATACCTGATGATGGCTTAATGAGCTGAAATATGTTGCAAGAAAAGACGAATGTGGGGTGTGTCCATACTACCAATTGTGGTGACGGAATAAAATATTGTAACGTGTTTCGTTACAGAATACGCCGTAGAGATCGTTAATTGGTTTATTGAACAATCTACAAATATCGGCTACAATTAATTATCACAATGTTACGGGATTCCACACTTTACAAACCCTACAACAAAATCTCTTAACACTATCTTCAAGAGTCTTCACGTATTAATAACGCGGGAGCTATACAAGTCTCCCTGAATTACACACTCCAGATATGACTGGTTATCACTGGTTATCGCACACGCGTCTGTAGCTCGTAACTTGTGAACTGAGAACTCGTTGATAACGCACTCTCACTTGTAACACGCCGCTGGCTAGTAGGCTTGCTCGGAACTAACTCGGAGGTAGCTCGAGGACTCACTCTGAATAGCCTTCGCTGCTCCTCATGTAGCCTCGATCGGACAATGCAGAAAACGGCCACGTAATAAGCACCCTTGTTGCCTGACGCTGTGTTGCTAGCAACGCTAGCGGTAGTAACCGCTGTTACCACCGTCTTCTCTCACAATCCTGTTTACCCGTGCTGCCCTTGGTGACGTCATCGCTGTTGACTCGCTTTGCGTAGCGACCAGGATGCTAGGACTCGGCTAACTTCGGCTCACTTCGGCTTCGCTCGGCGCCGCTCGTGACGTCACCGCGGGGAGAGTTTCGGGGTGATTACTCGCCTATTACGCGAGCGCTACGTTACCGCTACGTGCAGCTGGGGAGGTAGGGGTCAACATGTCACAATGTATATATATTTCACGCACATAATGACGCTACCATATGTTTCTGTCTACATATTGAGGTTCATTGGTTCATCAGTTAGAGCCATCTCACCGAAAGCTAATGAAGAAACTTCTCACGGCCGCCATGTTACTACTTTACATTGTTCAGAAATTATCTCAACAAAAGTTTCAGTTTTCTTTGTCTGTTACCAAATATTATTTCAGGATCCTAAATTAAGTGTCGTTACCACCTCAGAAGTTCTCACTGATATTTGAAAACATGACGTTCTAGTGGTCTTCATACAAAGTTTTTCGAAAGTCAACCAACTGGTTAAAATGGAGGTCTCACGCACGCGCAGACAGAAAAACAGAAAGTATGCTAAGAATGCATTTATACTAACATCTCAACATCTGATGGGTATAATTTACTCTCACTGACGTTAGTATGCAGCGTAATGGCTGATGTCAACTTAACGAGTGCTGAATACAGTAACCACACCGCATAAGTTCTAACAGACTTGTACCGCGTGTCCGAGTCCTGCTCCCGGCATTGATGTTTCTGTTTCGTCGTGCCTTGTCCTGTACAAGCAGAGATCTCATATGGTCCAGTTCGGCACCCGGGCTATTGAACCGACTGCACATCAGATCAAATTAACAGGCCATTCTACGTCAGGATTTCTGCGGCAAGGGGACGGGAAAAGCATGTGTCTCTAATGTGGTCACCTAGAGAGATATCAGGTTCATAAGCCTTCTTCAGGGTGAAACGTTGAAAAGAGATATATTTTTTATAATTTTTAAATTAAAAACTAATTTTCATAATTTTGAGACAGCGAACTCATAAGGACCAAAATTATATTCGACCGAAATATTTAATGCCGACTTCTAATACGAATTTTCCTCGTAATTCGTTGAAGAGTTTTGGAAATGAAATATATGGGCAGAAGTGCGAACAGAAAAGACATTCCCATTATGCTCTCATTTTATATAATACTTGCAAAAAGTGCATTGGGATAATAAAGATCTCGCCATGACAGATGTGAGGATATGGATTGTGGTCTTCTGAGCTATAACACCGTGCAATCTCATAGGCGTAAGTGAATATTTTACTCTGAAGATGGAAGCAGCAGATCCCTCCTAACGTCAGTAATCTATTTCATGATCCCAGTCTAGATATCATCATTCCTTTGAACTACAGAAAGAACAGAACAGATTGTGGACAAAGTGTTCGGACAATGTAAAAAATGAGCAGGGATTGTGAGACGCGGTGAAGACCTGGAAAAACGTTTCAGTTTAAAGAAAGTAAAACATGTCACATGGGACGAAGTTAGCACTCGATAACGGTGAGAAATGTCTCGGCCAAAAGAATCACGAAAGGGAGCCACCTAGCAATTTCTCCTGCCAAGGACGGTTCGAATATGTCGGAATCACGTCTAAGATATCCGTAACCTGAGGCGGTTTATGTGTGCCTTTTGACTCTCAACAATTGTTCAGGAAGGACCCCATAATTTACATAATAATTCTGCCATCAAACCGAAAAATTGTTTAACTTCATATATGTATGTAAGATTTGAGGCTTTCACGGCGGTGACTATGAAGAAAGCAGTCTTCTGGGATTTGGCACCGTGTATATGTGGTGTTAACCGACGTTTCGGAGGAACGTATCGCCTCCATCTTCAGGGTAGAAGAAAAAATATAAGAAATCCGCAAGCGAGGAGATACGGTCTCCTCGCTTGCGGATTTCTTATATTTTCTTCTACCCTGAAGATGGAAGCGATACGTTCCTCCGAAACGTCGGTTAACACCACATATACACGGTGCCAAATGCCAGAAGACTGCTTTCTTCATATAGGTAATCAATACAAACAATTATTACACTTCTCGATTCTGTTTGTTTGGATGAAATTAATTTATTCTTTAATGTCTTGAGAATGGAAAGTAAGCATTTAGTAGGCCTATACACAGGTTATCAGAAAAAAATTAAGTCCAAATAAATTAAACGTATAAGACTACAATTACTGTATCCTCAGACAGTAAAATTTTCTTTATAAATATAACAAAGAAATATTAGATCTTCATCAAACATCACAGTATTTGCCTGTCCAAACTCTTCCGCTATCATCTAACGCGGGAGGGTAGTGTCTGGAGGTACCACTTCGTGTTTCAGAGACCTTCATCTTGATACTCTATCCGGAAACTATCACTCACTCACTCACTCATGGAGCTGAGCCCTTCTTGAGAAGCTGCCAATTGTGCAGCTACTCAAGAACTTCCCAACATTTTATGGAACCCGAAGGTTCATTACTGTGTTCACAAGAGCCATCCACTGGTCCGTATCCTGAGCCAGATCAATCCAATTCATACCATCCCATCCTATCTCTCTGAGATCCATTTTAATATTGTCCACTCACCTACTCCTTAGTCTTCCCATGGTCTCCTTCCTTCCGGCTTTCCCACCAATATCCTATATGCATTTTTCCTCTCCATACTTGGAGAGGAGTACAAGTTATGAAGCTCCTCATTATGCAGGTTTGGAAACTGACTATATTGAAACAGATTTGTATTTAGTTTTCTGAATTCCTGACATCCTTAAAAAAGGCCACTTGCTCTGCATTACCACATCTGTCCCAATTCATCATTCACTGTCATTAATTTAACGATTACAATCTATGCAATCGAAAAAAGCCTTTCAAATAAGCTTATAAATAATATACAGTTCTAGCTTCGTGATAGGTAGAAACTCTGATCCCCTTTCATAAATCACGGGTTTATTTCAGGTCAGTGACTGGAAGTTGCAGCAAATTTATATTCAGCTCCCTTCATGTACAAAATGAAATAAATAATTGAGCCAGATTACCTTTTCCTTGTCTAGGCCAACTCATAATTCAGTGTTATTCAAACTTCATGTAGAAAGAAATTCAGTGCATGTAGAGTTTCATGTTTTATCGATATATTAATGTTCTCATAGAGGCCCATGGTCTAGATAGGCCGCATTTACAGATTTATTGACGTGTCCTGGGTGCAGATAGTGGGAAACACTTCGCAATTTAACTTTGTAGTCAGTATAGCGACCGTCTACGGGTTCGACGACTGAGGGGTTGGAGTTCGAGTCTCTTTTCCAAATCGTCCACCCAACCTCCTATACAATGTGTACCGGGGACTCTTTCACCAGGATTAAAGCGGCCGGGGCGTGAAGCTGACCACTCACCTCCATCTACTGCCGAGATCAAGAAAATATGCCTCTATACAACCACTCCCCATACGTCTTCATGGCGTAGTGCTTACTTCGTTGAGCACAGGGACAACTTTACCTTATCTTACTCTGTGACATTGGAAGCATGGCCAACAACTCTCCTTCAAACTAAATTCATGTCTATGTTTGTGAAAATAATCTACCTAGAAACGGGATAAACTTTATTTCTGTCACTGACCGACCGGCCTTATTCTATTCAACATGCGTGACTTACCTCTAGGCGTGCGTGTGTCGGGTAGAGTGATCCAAAGCGGGAATATGATGGGTGCCACCAGAAGGTAGGTGATTCGCTTCCTCGCGGTGTCCGGCCATGACATGTCCAGTGCCTCGTTGCCTTCTTCCTCGTCATCAGGATCGGCCATCTACAAACAAGAACACAGAAACGGCATTAGAACCGGTGGCGGCCGGCGAGCTGTTTTCTATGAGCCTATAAATTATGCCCGAACCTGGAAGTCGTCATTGCCTACGACTGTTTTAAACACGAGACTGGGAAATGAGTCACTGGATGACGTTAGAAGTGGGAATTACATTTACTCACGGCCCTTGTCTCCTCTCTAGACATTCGTAACCCATTCCAAAGAAGATATAAAGAAGGACAAATTGTTACATTATTATTATTATTTATTCTTTATTATTTATTATTTATTTATTCTATTATTATTATTATTATTATTATTATTATTACAGAATTATTCTGTTTAGACGTCCCGTTTAACCGAAATCTTTACAAATTTGTGGGGTAAAATAAAATTTAAAGACAAATTTACTTCTGTTCTCAATTAGTTAAGCACCAAGTCATGAAGATATACGGAGAGTGGAGTGAGGAATTCTTCACCAGTTGAGCAACTATCAGGTTCTCAAGAAAGACTCTGCTNGAGACCTCTGGATCTGCAATCAGCAACTCTGACCACTAGACCACAGAGGCGGTCTATTGCATTGTCTTAGGTCACCGTATCTCAACTTACGGGTTATTATTTGATAGGAAATTTATTTTACTTTAAAGAATTTGCACTTAAGGAAAAAGCCTCAACGAAAGCATCTATTTTATGAAAGAGTGAGTGCGCTGGAATAATACATTGGTGTAGGGAATCACATTCCTTGTAGCCCACATCAATATCTTTCACACTGCGACAGTCTGAAGTAAGCTACATTTTAACGCGTGAAATCTATCTGGGAGACGCCGTGCAATATCAGCTGAAAATGCGTGAGAACCTTCTAACTCATTCCGATTATAAATGTAAGATACAGTAACCAGAGTTACGAACACTTCTGTGAATTTGGTGGCACTTAATATCCAGATCTAGCAGTTCTTGTGTGGCTATTGTAATAGCCTAGGGCTTTAAGTTATTGGGGTGACTGATATTCCAGAGTTTCATTCTAAAGTAAGGGGCCTGACGATAGCCCGAGAGGATGTCATTGCTTCCAATCTGCTTTCTCAGATGCTTTTCTGACGGAGAAGCACGCTGCTTTCCTCGCCTCATATCTCGCAGTAGTACACTATGAGAAAGAAATGAGTCAAACATCGTTGGATTCTTAAACAAAACGAAAGGAGGAGCATTTTAAAAATCACGTTCTTCATAAGTTGCCGGTCACGGTAACCGACCGGTCTAAGGCATGCTCTGGGCCGCGCCATAGCTCAAGCTGTTAGTCGCTGGTTTCCCGCCGCGGCGGTCCGGGTTCGATCCCGGGGTCTGGTCAAGTGGGATTTGTGGTGGACAAAGTGGCGCTGGAGCGGGTTTTCTCCGAGTACTTCGGTTTCCCCTGCCAATCTTCATTCCACCAAATTCTCCATCATCATAATCACCCGGGGCAGGTACAATAGGCCAACCAGTGGCCCAGTTGGACTCCAACCCCCACTAACCGAATTAAAAAAAAAGGCATGCACTGTCTTCGCTCGGACCCTGGGATCGTGGGTTAGAATCCAAAACAAGGCATGAATATTTGGTGTTCGTGTATGTGTGTGTGTTTTTCTGTGTTTGTGTACAAGTAGAGGCCTTGCAAAGAGCTGATAACCCACCCAAGGAGTTCTACCGAATGTCTAAGATCTAGTAAACCGAAGTGAAACAGAGAGTTTCATGGAGGTAGGCCAAGGCCCAAATTCGGGCGGTGGCACGAAAGAAAAAAAAATCTTCATAAGTTAGGAGCCAGGATAGCGCAGTCAATATAGGGACTGGCTATGGGCTGGACGGAAAAGGGGTCAGAGTTCGAGTCCCGGTAGGGTCAAGAATTTTCTTCTCCACGTCGTCCAGACCGGCTTTGAGGTTCACCCAGCCTCTTATTCAATGGGTACTGGGGTTAAGAAAATGTGGATTTATACATCCATTCCCCCATACGCTTTCATGGCGTAGTGCTTAATTAGTTAAGCACAGAGAAAACTTTACCTTGTATTATGTAGATTCATGACTGATATGATTGAGCAATATGATATCAGTGCAGGTAGAACTTGTAGAAATAACGGAGGGTACACGCTCAGAAATATGCATCTAATATCGGGGTTTTATTTGTAAAGTAGTCCCACAAGCCAAATTTAAGTTCACATTTTCAGTAAAGAATGAAAGGCAGGAAGCCTGACTGATCCGAGCGTATAGAACATGGCAAACTACAGATTGAAACACAATTTGTGAGCGTAATAGAATAGAAGGCAAAGTAAGAAATATTCTACGAGGTCTCAGAGATGCAAAGTGGATGAAGAAATATATATCGGTCTTCCGTATTCCGTATTCCGTATTGAGGGGGTGGGTTTCCCCACGCACTTAGACCGGTTAGTGGTCCATTGTGCGTCCCCCTTTAATTTCTACTGTCTCCATACCCTACAGGTACTGGTGCTTATTATCAGCCCCTTTCTGCCAGCAAGGTTCCAACCTCCTCTGACAGTGGTATCTAATAGTTAGTCCCTTTCTGTCAGAGAGGTCCCCCCTCCTCTGGCAGTGGTACCTAATACTTCCCCCATCTACCGGAGGAATTGGAAACTACTTGGGCGAGAAATGTTGCCTAATTTTGCTGAGAGGTCTCCTAGAGACATGAGGTTCTTTTACGTGCCGTAAATCTACGACACGGGACCCACGGCTTAAAGTCCCTCCCGGAGGACTTGTTACCTGAATTTCTCCGCCCTTAAAAATTCCACGACCTCCGCCGGGTTTTTGAACCCGCGTACTACGAGTCATGAGGTGGGAACGTTACCTCTAGACTACGGAGGCCGCTTATATCGGTCTTAAAAAATATTTAAAATTTTCCTAGTTATCCAGGCACGTTAATGATATAATTTTTAGTTGAATGGTATAAAAAAATACAGTTCTTTCTGGGCACTGTAAGATAGAATTAGGAAGTTTCTTAGCGTATTCATTGCCAAGTTTCTCAACTCAGAAATTATAATAGGTCAAATGGCAAGCTGGGTACTAGTGATGAATTAGTAAAGATAGAAAAGGAAACGGTAGTGTCCCATTTGCCTATTACAGTGGCCTCGCTATGTAAGTAATGAACCGTCTTCGCCCACTCGAACGTTGGGATCGTAGGTTCGAATTCCATTCTGCGTTTATTCTGTACTTGTGTTACTATGTGTATAGGTAGCTGCCTTGTGAAAGGCTGATCCCCCTTCCAAGGAGTCATACCGCCTGTGTATAGGATTAAGAAACTGTAAAAACGACAAAGGTCCAAAGGGCTGTAAACCACAGGGATAAAAGGAGCATACAATTTTATTGTATGCTTTAATTAAAACTTCTTTGAGGATTCGTCACATGAATACGCAATCTTTTGGAAGGAAAGTCCTTTGCGTTCAACAAGGTCTCCAGTTTGGAGATTTTGATTCTCACCGTACGTTAAATATAGAATCTACTAACTTCCTGAAGAATGCTGTTTCCTGGGATTTGGCGCCGTATAGATCTTGTGTGAACCGACGTTTCGGAGGAATGTATCGCCTCCATCTTCAGGATAGAAAAATCCGCGAGCGAGGAACCAGCCACCTGCTCACGCTGGTTCCTCGCTCGCGGATTTTTCTATCCTGCAGATGGAGGCGATACGTTCCTTCGAAACGTCGGTTCACATAAGATCTACAAGGCGCCATATCATAGCCTCCCCCGTGAAAACCTCAAATCTTACTGACTTCCTAATTATGACAAGATCAAAATCACTATCTTATGATGAGACACACTATTAGATATTTTAGAGACAGTAGACTAAGGAAGTTGTGTTATCATTTACTTTGTAACACTGCAAACAGGTAGAATAGTCGAGATACTAGAAACCCCATCTACTTCTATAATTACAACAGACCTCTTTGTTAACATCGCACAGAGCACGCAACAGGAGGGACATACGGGTTTATTCCGTTATATTAGCCCTACGATACCGCGTCCAAGTTTTTGAGTGTGCAAGAAAATGAATGACAGTGACTATTTTAAGCTCAAACCGCCGAAATCACATGTCACAAGGTTTAGCCTGTCACTCTTCAGCAGAGCCAGCCGGTGCTTTGTTGAATTTCACTGCATCCCGATTCTCTCTTTGGGACAGAGATCGCTTTTGAAGTTTAGGCATTTATCCAACATCATGTTCCAGCAATATTATCCAGTATTCCCAGCTAGATGGATGCCAGGAATGATTATAATCGTGGGGTTTCAGCATTGTGGAAATAGCTGAAATGATCTGCACACAATATTGCGTCCACTAATCAACGATACTCAACCTCACGCTGTCATGAAATTGACCAGACACCCTAAATAACAATAAATGCAGCGCTCATTGTAAAACTAGACTGAAGACACGATGACAATTGCTGCCTTTGGAGGATTGCCAAGAACTGTATTCCATTCTCAGATGGCACTGCTGTAGAGCAACTCTGCTACTCTGGTCATCTTTCATCTCTGAATGGACAATACTGAAGTGTTTCTTTACGTATTGTTATCATAGCTCTTTCAGCAAGATGGTTTCGAATATAAAACAATCGATTGTTCATACCTCAATTCATATCGATATTCACTTATTCCTGACACAGATCTTCTGTTGCGAAGTTAATGCTCTGTAGATGGGTTGTCTCATAGAGTTATTTTTTCTTCTTCTAGGTTTATATTGTTAATGTTCATCACGCTGATAAACATTTAAAACGAAATAGCAGATTTTAAAGAGCGTTTCGAGTATGAATAGTTTTCAGGATGATAACAGTGATAAAATTCGATCGGAGCTTCGGCGCAAGGTCGATAAGAATAACAGGAAGTTCTGGGAACAACTAATCGCCTAATTTCCTTTCATACTACACGGACCGCATAGAAAATTAAACATTTAGGTGGGTATACAGACACACGGATAGAAACACACAGAGAGCAAGGTGATCTCATAGGTCTCCGTGTACTTTTTCAAAGTAAGGAAAGTA